CCCGCCCCCTCCCCCCACAGGCGGCCGCCACCTGGGGCCAGAGGGGGAGGAGTGGAGGCTGGGGGTCAAACCCAGCAAGCCGCTCCTGGGAGCTCCCACTGGAATCCTGGCAGAGACCGCGCAGAGCCCAGCTGGAGCGCTGCAGAGCGGGAAACGTTCGGGCTCTGCCAGTGCGCTCTGTGCATGGCCCTTTCTCCCCCTACCCCTTCCCACTCCACTGGGAGAGCAGCAGTGCATGGACCTGCTTGCTCTGCTGCGCTCTGCAAGCCAGATTTGGGAGGGTGGGGGCTTTCTCCCCTGCCCACCCCCATGCTCCTCCTAATGGGAGCCAAAACAGGTGCAGAGACTGGAATGTGGCACTAACCCAGCTTCCGTGCCAGCGTAGATGCTCTCTTGTGCAAGAAAGCTCTGATGGCCATTTTAGCCATCAGGCTTTCTTGAGCAAGAAATTCTTGTTGCCTGTCTACACTGGCCTCTTGCGCAAGAACAGTTGCACAAGAGGGCTTAACCTTGAGCGGGAGCGTCAGAGTATTTGCGCAAGAAGCACTGATTTTGTACATTAGCACATCAGTGTTCTTGAGCATGACCTCACGGGAAGTGTCAGTGGGGGTGCAGGGGACAGGTGTTTCAATTCACCAGTGGAAGAATGCATATAAAAAAGTAATGATGTTCAAATGATGTAAAAAGTTCAAACATCTGAACTTTTAATTCCAGCAAAAAACAAATAAACCCAGACTCCATCTCTCCCGACATTACTGAGCTTAGGTGGCAAAGACAGTGCATATGCTAGGAGGCAAACAATAGAACACTAACTCACTGAAGGGTAGATACCCTTACTCACATTGAATAGAACCATGATCCATGAGTAATTCCATTGGATTCTTATGAATAAGGGGCTACCACACCAGAATATGGGTATTTAAATCAGATACTGAGGGTACGTCTACACAACTGGCTAGATTAACAGACAGACTTTGATCCAGAAAGGAGTCAATTTATTGAGTCTAGAATAGACATGATAAATCAATCACTGATTGCTATAGAGTCAACTCAGGAACTCCACCTTAAAGAGAAGCATGAGGGGAGTTGACAGGAGAATGTGTCCCATCAACACACTGCAGTGAAAATGCTGCTGTAAATAGATATAAGTAATTTCTGTACCAAGGGGCCCACAACTGGCAGAATACTCCAGATGTGGCCTCACCAGTGCCAAAAAAAGGGGAATAATCACTTCTCTAGATCTGCTAGCAATGCTCCTCTTAATGCACCCTAATATGTCATTAGCCTTCTTGGCTACAAGGACACACTGTTGACTCCTATCCAGCTTCTCATTCACTATAATCTCCAGGTCTTTTTCTGCCAAACTGCTGCTTAGCCAGTCAGCCCCGAGCTTGTAACAATCGAGCCACTTATCATTACCTGTTGAGCCCTACAATCTAGCCAGCTTTCTATCTACTTTACAGTCTGTTTATCCAATCCATATTCCCTTAACTTACTGGCAAGAATTGTGTGGGAGACAAATCAAAAGCTTTGCTCAAGTCAAGGTACGAGTACAGGCAGTCCCCGGGTTATGTACAAGATAGGGACTGTAGCTTTGTTCTTAAGTTGAATTTGTATGTAAGTCGGAACTGGTACATATTGTAGGGGAAACTCTAGCCAAACATTTCTCCAGAGCTCAGTTTTATTCTCCCACACCTCACTTCCCTCAGTCCTTTATTCTCAAGCTGAGGTGTCTGCTGAGAAAAGCCGCTCCGCGTCTCCCTGGTCTGCTGGGGGGAAGCAGCTAGTGCGGGGTTGCCTCACCCCGTTTGTAAGTAGGGATCCGATATAAGTCGGATCCATGTAACCCGGGGACTGCCTGTATCAGCAATAAAGCAGTCAGCTACTGTCCATTCCTGCGTCTCCTGTTTTTTCTTTCTCATCTGGCATCACAAACAGGATTCCGGGGGAGAGTTGTGCCTGACCACCACTTCTCCATGGATTACATGGGTACGTCTGACAAGTTGTTTACTACAACAACTGTTAGCTATTTTATTGTCAAGTTGGTGGGGAAATAGTGGGGACCTTATGAGTGTCCCTCCAGGAAACATCCGGATTGGCTGGCCATTCAGGGATGGATAGAATCCTCTCCTGTGTGCAAAACTTCTCAGGAGAAGGAGGAGGCTGTGATGGTGCTGGCTCCATGTGAGGATCTGTCTGGCTTGTGGGAGGAAGTTACTAACTTTAGAACTAAAATAGAAACTCTGCATTAAATTGCTGAAGAGCAACACACTGTTAACCGTCAAGAGTGTTCCGGGAGCCAAAATGGCTGAGAACTGTATGGATGATTTTTGATTGTCTTCAGTCCGAGAACCTGACCTTGAAGGGTCAAGCAGGCGCCTTAAGGCAAAATTCCTTTTTCCCTCTCCCCCTCTGTTCCAGGAGAGACACAAAAACATGAGGCATTTGAAAATTTTTAAGAACAGGACCAGGAGATGTGGGGGCTATTTGAAAGAACCACTCTCCTTGCTAAATTGGTAATGAAACAAGCCCATGTCCATGGAAGGGGATCATTCAGCCAGAGAAAAAAGTACCAGGCCCAGACAAGCTGGCACACAACAGATGTAAAAACTGGCAGAGGGAGGGCATAGTGAGAGGAATAAGGAAAAGAATACAGGCATAGGGAATTCAGATCCCTGTGAATGGTGGTAACTTGGTATGGCGATATACTGGAAGGCTGTGTCTAGACTAGCAAGTTTCTCCGGAAAATCAGCCACTTTTCCGGAAAAACTTGCCAGCTGTCTACACTGGCCGCTTGAATTTCCGCAAAAGCACTGACGATCTCATGTAAAATCATCAGTGCTTTTCCGGAAATACTATGCTGCTCCCGTTCGGGCCAAAGTCTTTTTCCGAAAGACTTGTGCAGAAAAAGCCCAGTGTAGACAGCACAGTACTGTTTTCCGCAAAAAAGCCCTGATCATGAAAATGGCGATCGGGGCTTTTTTGCAGAAAAGCACATCTAGATTGGCCACAGACACTTTTCCACAAAAAGTGCTTTTCCGGCAAAGCGCCCTGCCAATCTAGACACGCTTTTCCGAAAATGCTTTTAACGGAAAACTTTTCCGTTAAAAGCATTTCCGGAAAATCATGCCAGTGTAGACGTAGCCGAAGTGTCATTTTGGGAGAGTAAGCAAGTGATTTAAGGAAAAAGAACAAGAAGTTAACTCTGCAGAATCTGGGAGGGAACCTAGCAGTTGAATGTTGGGTAAATGCTATTGAGGGAAATTGTTATAGGAAAAAAATTCTTGGTTTCTCTGAAGACATTCTGATGGAAAAATGGGCTTTTCCCAAAAGAAATGTCTGTAAATAATCCAGGCAAGGATACAATCTGAGGGGGGAGAGAGGTTGTGTGTGTGTGTGTGTGTGTGTGTACACAAAATTGTAGTGTAAATATGTAAGAGTTTTAGAATTTACCCAACAATCATGATTTGAAAAATTCTGTGAGGAAGGTTTGAAATAAATTGTTTTTTGTTTGGATTTTAATAAGGCCATTTCATTTGAAGCTGTGAAACTGACAAGACGCTTCTTGCCATTGTTGGGACTAAAAGAGGGTAT